GGCGAGCAGATCTCTAGGGGTGAATTCGGGCGGGGGTTATATTAGGATGTGCCTCGGGGCAGGCACAGGTTGGGGTGCAACCCTGCGTGCGAGGGATGTGGGGGGCAGAGCTGAGGGGACATGCGAAAAGGGTCTGTCCCCTGGGGACGGGGGTTGGGGTGAGACCTGCTCGGGTCTCATCCCGTGGAGCGGCGGGCGGGCGTTGGGGGTGAAGGGGCTGCAGGCGGCTCCAAGGGGGGATCAGGGCGCGGGAGGAAGGAGGAGGGTGAGCAGGAAGCTTTGCAGGGAGGGCCGTGGGGAGCCCGGACAGGGCGGCGCGGGGACCTCGAGACAAGCCCTCGGGCAGGGGCGTGTGGCAGGGTGGATGGGGCGGCGTCGGGGAGGCAGGGCCAGCGCGGTGTCCTCGGATAGCTGGGATGAAGGTCAACCACGTGAGGCCCTTGGAGGCTGGGGCTGCCTTGTGACAGCCTTGCAGGACCGAGCGCAGGGGCCTTCGGGCACGACGTGCCCGGCGTCCAGGCTGGGAGAGAGGCAAGCGCAGGCGAAGCTAAACCAGGGCGAACATGGCTCGTGCTAACTCCAGGTAGGGAAGAGCAGCCACTCGGGGAGCGAGCGACCAGGCGCCCCACGCACGCCTTCCTCCGCCCCAAAGTCTGCCCCCGAGACCCGGGCGAGGGCTGAGTTGGGGCAAGGACTCGCCGGGCGGCGGCGACCAGGGGGTCGCGGGATGCGGTTAGTCCAAAGGAGGAGGTGGTGGCTGGGCACCTCAGGCAACCACGGCGGGGTTCATCCGTAGGGCACAAGCTTTCCCGGGCTGAGGCGTGCTTCCTGGTGCTGGGAAAGGGCGCGTGGAAGCAGGTGCCAAGGAGAGAAATCAGAATACAAAAGGCAAGGCGGGCGGGGAGCCGATGAGCAAACGAGCCATAAACTCATGAGGCGCAAGGAAGGGACTGAAGCTGGCCCAGGTAACGAGAGCCCTGTTCACACCAGACCACAGCCCAGCCCGTGGGCCGTTTCCTGCTCAAATCGGTCTTTGAGGTTTGCAGACCCAGGGCGGCCGTGGGAGGCTCGGGCGCTCTGCTGCCGACCTGCCTGCGCAGGGAGATGCTGCGCTTGCTCGTGCCTCCCTGCACCAGGTGGTCTGCAAGGTGCTGCCACCCTGCCTGGCACGACTGCCCCTGCGCCCCGTCCTGCCCCCGGCCCGGCGAGAGCAGCTCCTGCCGTCTGCGCGCCCAGTTGGCAGGGCCGGGGTCGCTGCACCGCGCCGAGCCCTTCGTCGGTAGTGATGCACGTGCTGCAATTCCCCCCTGCCAGGGAGGGCTCGGCGGGGCAGTTTGGCCCCACATCCATTGTGGCCGGAGGCCTGGGGAGCAGCAGACTGGTGTCGCGGGGGCCAGAGCGGGTAAGGGGGGGTTGTGGTGAGGGCCTGGGGGAGCCAGTTGGGGCAGGTCCTCCTGGGGAGCACGAGGGCAGACTGGCAAACACCTGGGAAGGGTCGAGCCGCTGCAAGACCCAAGTCAGGCCTGGGGTTGGGTGGGCACAGGGCAGAGGTGGAGCCCCTGGGGCGCGCCGGACCTTCCTCGCAGGTCCAGCTGCCCTGGAAGCGGTGGGACCGTGTCCTTGGGGTTCCCCGAGCGGACAGGCCGAGTGCCTGGGATGAGGTCAGAGCAGCGCGTCCTGCACCCGTGCAGGGGCCGGCAGGCTGTGTGATGGGTGCAGGCACGGGGGGGCGTGTATTGACTAGGGTTACCCCGGGGTGCAAGACATTCAGTCTCAAAGGAGGAGCCGGTGAGAGCTGGGGGGGACCGGGTTTGTATCCCGGTGGGGCTGGGGCCCGAGTTTGGGCCCGGTCACCTGGGGAGCAAGGAGGAGGGGTCCGTGGGAGGGCTCTTCTCACCCGGTCCTGAGGAGCTGGGGCAGCTGCTGGGATTGGGACCAGCATGACTGAGCTCTGGCCCGGGGGAAACACGTGCAGACCCCACGGCGGTCTGAGCACGAGGAGACCCGCCGGACACGGCAATGGAGAAACGAGGGTTGGAAGGAGGGAGGATGGACAAGGGGAAAGGAAGTGCTCGCCAGCGCCACTGGCCTCTGCTTGACGTGGCCGGCAGGGACCACAGGGAGATCTGGGCATTGTTGCAAGGCGCCCGGCCGCGGCGTGGAGGACCGGAGCACTGGGGCAGGCGGTGATACCGGCTATGATGGGGATAAGAGACGCGGTGGGAGAGCAGCAGCGACGGGAACGCCTGGGCTGACGGGGCATGAAACGGAGCCGTGCGCTGGGGTGGGGGCAGCCGTGCGGCGCCGTGCAGATGTGGCAATGTGAGCCAAGAGGTCTTCGTGGGCAAACCCACCGCGAGGGCTCTGCCGGGGTAGCGCCAGGGGTTGGTGCAGAGCCCTGGGGAAGAGCAGGGGCTACCAGGCGTCCTACATGCAAGCCCCAACCCCGGAGGTCCTGGCGTTCAGATCCCCCAAGTCTCTCTTGCCCTGAGCCCAACGGCCAGAGGAGCAAGGCAGGGAGACCCCCCGATCCCCACAAACACAGCGGGGAGCCACGACCCTCTCGGCAGGAGGCTGCAGCACGCTCTCGTGGGGGGCTGCCCGGGGTGCGACGGGCACAAAGTCATTACAGGTCGGGGAGACGGGATCTCCCTTTCCGGGGACAGCAAAACCACCTGGACGGACGCGACCTTCCACCGTGGTGGTGATCATGGTACGTAGGATGCCTGCCATGGGTTTGGGAGTATCTGACGCCCCAGGCCGAAGAGTTTGGGAGCTAAAATACTTGCCGGGGTGACACCACGTGGACCTGAACGACTGAGCATTCGGAACCCATTTGGCTAAATTGGCCTGAGATCTGAAATTAAAAAACTCAGGGGTGGGGGCAGGGGCTCCCAGGCATTGCTAACAGGGTTACCCGTGTGGACGAGCACGTGCTGGAGGCCAGGGAGCGTACGGGCAAAGCGGCAGCTGCCACAAGTCCGCCTGAGCCCGACTGTGCAAAAGAAATCAAAATAACTAGACAGCGGGGCATGAGCTGGGGAAATCAGAGAGACGCGGGGGCTGCCAGTGCAGGTGCAGCAGAAATGACCCCTCCAGGTGAGGCCCGGGAGCCCCGTCGGGCGGTGGTGCTGCACCGGGGGTGCGGGCGGGAGCACGTCCAGGCAGGGGCTGCGTGGCGGCCGTGGGGCTCGGACGTTAGGGAGCGGGTCCGGCTCGGCAGGCCGGTGGACTGCAGGACAGCGAGCGCTGCCTGCTTCTTTAAGGAAAGGAAAAGCGTGCGCTGGGCCGTCAGAAGCCCATTGCCCCGACTCCGGGGGTGCCAGGCTGCACAACAAGTTTTGATGGAAAAATTAATTATGGAAATGGAGGTCAGTGGCTGAAACGCAGCAGGGGTCTATTTCCCAGGCTCGGGGCTTTGCTGGTGGCCGCAGGGGGCCAGGAAGGATTTCTTCCCCTTCTGTTGCTACATGTGTTGTGGGCAGGGGGGGCTTCCTCAGCGGTGCTGGGTGCTGCTGCAGCCCAGGCTGGGGCTGGGGCCGGGCTGGGCCAATGCTCCTGCCGGCACCGACCCGCAGGGTCCCGGCTGGAGGGTCTTGCCCCGCACTGAGGCTCAGCCCCACGCTGCACTGGGGCAGGACGGGATTTCCCCCCTGCTCAAACTGGTCTGCACTGTGGGGTTTCCCCTTCCCCTGCAGTGGGGGCACTCCCTGACCATAAAGCTGGACTAGCCCAGTGCACATCTTCCTTCGGCCGCCGGCTTCCCAGAGGGGACCCTGGGTCAGTTGCCCCTTCCTGAACCGCAGCGACGTGTTCGATTGAGTCCCCTTGTGGAAACCACTGGTTAAACTGGGACCAGAACGGGGGGGAGCTGGGCTGCCCTGGCCCGCGAGCGGAGGCAGGAAGGGGGCAGGGGGGTGGAGGCACCAGGGCGGTTGGGAGGTTCCTGGGCATCAGAGCAGCCTCCCAGGGGCATCGAATCCCGGCTGGGTGAAGGTGGAGCTTGGTGGTTTCCAACAGGCGACAGGTTGTGGCTGCGGGGGAGCGGGGCACGGGGCACAGGGCGCGGGGCGCTGGCCCCAAGCTCCATTGGGTTTTGGGTCTGGGACCGTCAGGACGAGCAGGCGGGGGGAGACCGGGCCGGACCGGGCACCAGGGATGGACAGGCGGGGGGGGAGCGGGCCAGACCAGGCACTGGGGATGGACAGGGGGGGGGCCCCCGGGGGCTGGAGCCGCCGGGGCAGAGCTGTGGCGTCCCCCGCAGGAGGGGGTGGCCTGAGAGTGAGGGCAAGCAGTCAGGGTGGCCGTGCGAGGGGGAGGCTCGGGGGTGTCACGGGTTCACGCGACCCCTGGGAAGGAGCGGGCTGAGCTGTTTGGGCCAGCACTGGGGTGGGGGGCTCAGGAGGCAGCGGGCCAGGAGAGATGTCTGGCGAGCGGGGGCTGCTGGAGCCGGGCAGCTTGGAGGGCTCTGGTGGGCCAGGCCGAGGCGACGGGCACCCGTGAGCCGCGCTGGGCAGGGTGTGAGGGCTGCAGACTCTGCAGGCTTCCCCGTCTCGTACCGGCGTGCTGTACAGCTGTCCCTGCCCTGCGCCGACGCCTGCGGGATCGCCATTTCCCACGGCCGGCAGGTGCATCTGTGGCCGATGGAGGCTCCCAGGTGCAGCCCCCGGCTTGCTCCCCGCTCCTTCCCCATCCGCCAGTGCTCCCCTGCACCGGTCCAGCCCCCCGGCCCTCTGTCCACACAGGTCTGGGTAACCCCTCGTTCCTGCTCCTTGGGCCACGGCCTGGTGCTGCTGCTTGGGGGGCAGTGGCTGCCGGTGGCGGTCCGGTCACAGCAGGACGGCTCCTCTCATCTCACTGGGCTTCACAGCTCCTCTGGGGCTGGGGCACCCTTTCCCTGCCCGGCCTGGTCTACGCACCCGGCATCCCCGGGATGTTCATCCTCCCCATCCCGGCTGGGGGCCCGTAACCCTGCCCCTCTCCCCGTGGTGTTTCTGCAGAAGCTTCTGGCTGTGGAGGACACTGGCATCGCTGGAGAGGGCTTGGAGGTGCCGTCGCCAGACCTGGAGGAGGTGGAGAGGTATGGGTCCCAGCCGGGCCAAGATGGGGCAGGGAGGGCCGTGCCCCTGGTCCTGTGGCCCAGGCAGCTTCCCCAGGGCCTGGCTCCCTCCCTGCATCAGGCCCTCGCCGCAGGGCTGGGACCAGGACCGGGACCGCTGAGGTGCTACACCTCTGGCACAGGCCTGTTGCAACCCGGGAGCCGCCCTGAGCCTGCTTGTGGCTCTCAGGGGCAGGCATGGGGCTGGGTCTCGGCAGTCGCAGCTCCCCTTGCACGCCATGGCCCGCGGTGAGCCCAGCCAGCAGCAGACAAGCATGTGAGGCAGGAGCCAGCGTGAGCAAATCTGCACAGGCCCGGGGCCCCCGTGCAGTGGGGCTGCGTATGGTGGGCATGGACTGCGTGGGTGGGCTCTGAGCCGGCCTGGGTGTGCAGGCAGAGGCCGGGTCCCCGGTGTGCTCTGAGGACAGAGCTCCAGCTGTGCTGGAGCTGCTAATCCCCGCTCGGGAAAAGCCTGAGCTCTGAGCTAGCTCCGTGTCTCGTCCTCTGGGGAGGGGTGCCACAGCAGGGTAGTGCTCCCGGAGTGGGGTGACCCCCCGCCGGCTGCAGCCGGGGCCGGAGCGTGGCCGGGCCCGCCCGCGCC